AAGTAGGGTCATGGCACCACTGACCCCCATGCACTGGCCAGAGGTCAGGAATCAGGGCATGTAGCCCAGTTTGTCTCCAGGCAGTCTCACCAGTACAGCTGGCCTGTAGCAGGATGCTGCCCCTGCTTTGAGACCCTCCTGGCCTGCTACTCTGCTTGCTCCAGTTCCTGACCTCTGGCTTGACCCTTCGCTCCAGCTGTGGACTACTGACTCCAGCTCTGAGTCCAGCCCTTGGTCGCTCTGACCACAAGGCTACACTTTCCTTGTCCCAGTAACCTTATGTAACCAGAAGAGTAGGAAATACAGAGGGGGATTATGTTGTTCCCCATAAAGAATGCTTCTTGGGATCCTCTGACATCAGTGTAACTCCTCAGCTTCCCTCCCCCCCCCCCAGTATGGACTGTGCCTAAAAGTATGGCCATTAAAGATTTTCAGTTTTTAACTATGTAATTCACAGGTGACTGGGAGATTGTTCCCCTTCTTTTGCTCCAGTTAAGGTAAAAGCATGAGAATTCTAAAAGTTTGTTAGGGGAGGAGATCAGGTCCTAGTGACTCTTTTACTACTCAGTCTCTCCTGCTCTCAGTACAGTCCTATGGATCCATCGTCTGTGCTATCCTCATTCTCTCAACTATTCCTTCAGCTTCTCTTTGGTCGTTGTAAATCATCCTTTCTTCCACCCGCCATTCACCTCAGGGTTCAATTTGCCACCCCCTCCTCTCCTTCCTCTGAACTCATTCCTCCTAGTTCACTCTCTGTTTCCACTATTATGGTGATGACTCACAAATATCTCTGTCCTTGACCTCTCCTTATCTCCCCAGTCTTGAATCTCTGCCTGCCTGTAAGACCTTGCTCCTGGGAATTCTGTGCCAAAAAGTTTAAAATTCTGTGCCAAAAAATTAAAAAATCATGCGTACAATATTTTAAAATGCTGCAAAATGCTGCAAATTTTGTCAAATAAATGTGGCTCCAGCATGGTAGTGGGAAGCACAGACCACTGACTCCACTGAGGTGGGAGATCACCCTGAATCCCCCACCTCCCCTGGTACAGGGACTCAACAGTGAGGCTGCATCTCACCCTGACACAGTGCAAGGGCTGGGCCTACCCCAGAAACACCCCAGGGCCCTGCCCCTCTGCACTAGGTGCACCAGGTGTGGGTGGGCAGGCTCAGCCCAGCAGGATCCAAGTGTGGGGGGGGGATGCAAGTGTGGGGTGAGAGGTTTCTGTGTGAGCCAATCTGGTTGCGGGCAGCTCAGTGGGAGATCTGGATGCACAGGGGCTCATTGGAGGGTTCCGGATGCAGGGGCAGTGGGATTCTGCAGGGGATCCAGGTGAAGGTGGCTGGGGCTCAATGGGGGAGGGTCTGGGTTTGGGGAGATGGGGCTCAATGGGGAGAGATTGGGGTTTGGGGGGGGGTCTGGGTTCTGGGGAAGTGGGGCTTGATGGGGTGGGGGTCCAGATGCAGCTGCTTGGGGATCAGTGGGGTGGGGGTCTGAGTGAGAGGGCTTGGCTGGGGTGGGGGTCCAGATGTAGCAGGGTAGGACTTGTCAGGGTGAGGGTTCAATGGGCCTACTTAACTGGGGAGTCTCAGCTGTGCCAAGGGGATGCTGCATGCCAGGCTCCTGCTTCCCCCTGCAATTCCCCTATCCCATTTTCTTCTGCATTCCCCTCCCCTCATTCTCACTTTCCTTTCCCCCTGCCCTGTTCCACCCCCTTCCTTCCCCACTGCCTCTTCCCCCACTCCCATTTAGCCAGACCCAGCACGGGCACTCACTGTTGCCCAGGAAGGCTCTCAGCACACAGAAGGGGAGCACGACTGGCAGTAGGACCCACGAGGAGGTGTTCCGCTGCAGAGTCAATGGAGCCCAGATGCAGCCTCCTGCAGCTGGGCATCTCTGCACTTGCAGAAATGGGTGGGGCGGCAGTGGCACGTAACCCCATGTTCCCCCCATGCCTTGCCTTTGTTTGGGGGGTGGCAGTCCCTCCCAAAAACTGTGCCCATGGTCATTCCCCCACCCCTACACACACAACTTCACTTTGCTTCCCTGCCATTTTCTTCAGGGAAGCACAGGAATTCTGCAGGGTGGGGAGGAGGGTTTCTACAGGCATGCAATCATTCGGAATCCCCCCAGGAGTAAAACCTGATCTACCCTAGAAAATCAGGTTGGCTTCATTATGTTGGTTGGAGTGCGAAGTGATGTAGTTAAAATGACCTAAGTCTCCTAGCTACTGCCTCTCGGGAAGGTGGATTATCTGTGCTGACGGGAACACCCTTCCCATCAGCGTAGGTGGTGTCCACACTGTAACACTACAGCTGCAGTGCTGCAGCTATGCCACTGTAGCCTATCAAGTGTAGACAAGCCCTGAGATGTCTCACCCTGCATGTCTCACCTCACCTCACTTTCTTTCCCTTCTTTCTCCCTAATTGATAGCTGAACTGTCCTCCTCATCTCTGAGGCTCACAATCTGTCAAGTTCCTTTGTCATTTACCCGACCATCCAGGCTTTTGCCAAGTCCTGTCAGCTCCTCCTCTATATTATATTTCCAAAACCCATTCCTTCCTCTGTCACAGCTGATAAAACATATCCAGTGGTATTGCTGATTCATTAGGTGGCACTCTGTCCTCCAAGTCAATACATTTTCTCAGTCATTAGTCATCTATTGAATTGATTAATGTAACCTTCTCTGCAGCATCCCTAATTTTTTAATCTCTATTCTGTCTAAAACTCTAGAGCGAAAATAACCCTTTCCCCACTACTTTGTCTCTCCCTCCTTGAATCTCTTCATGGACTTTGTCCTATATGATTCAAGCTCTTCAGCCTCACCTTTGCATATCTATACAGTTCTGCACCTCCTTACACTTCGGCTTGTTTCTTCCTACACTCCCCCTTGAATACTTTACTCTGCCTAGTCTGGTTTTTTTTCCCAAGCAGTCATCTCAATATTCAGATCTCTTCTTCAAGCCCACTTATTTTGCCTAGCCTTCCTTCACTACTAACTATGATAAAGTCTTTGCCTGCCCACATGCATCTTTCTTTAATTGTCAGTACAGTGCAGTATCTAGATTGTAAATTCCCTGGACATGAAATTTTTTAAACTACATGTTTTGTACCATGTGCTGCTATAGAAGTAACACCCAGTACAAAGAGGGGATTGCTTAATCACATGTAACCTACCCCTAGTTAGATTTGTTAGTCTCATCTGAACTAAGGCACTCTACCTTCCGTTCCCCAACATCAATTTTACTTCTTGCTGCCAGTGCCAGCAAACCTCATGCGTGTCAGCTTCAAACATTTTACATATATGTACTTCCAAGCTTTCAGTAAGACAGACAGTGAATCTTGTTGGAAGTCTATCTAAACCCCATGGAATAGTCTATACATTACAATTTTCCAGTTCACTGCCAACCATATCTGCAAATATATACAATTACATTGGTGTTCTTATTTTTTGTCTTGTATGGAAAAACCGTGACACATGCTAACACAAGTGTTGCAGACCCTCATGTAGAATTTAATATTAACCATGTAAAAAAATCCTTTACATTTTGGCTAGATTTTTCTTTCTGGAATCTTTTGTTCTGTGTGGATCACATACTTCATAAAGAGACTTGAACACAGCCTTTGGGGCTTCAAGTGTAGCCTTCCAAAAAGAAAAGCAGAAAAACAAATTGGACAAGCATTAAGAAATGCAAGCACAGCAACTCAGCTACACAATGGCAGAACAGTACATCAGAAGGCTGGTGTGTAGGGATTCTGCTTCAGAGAGCCTTAGTCAAATGAGGGATTGTAATAAAGTTCACCAGGGGTTTGAAAATCCAATCATGCGTATTTGTGTGTGTTCTCTGGGTTTTGCAGATATTGTAAATGTGGCAATGGGTAGGTTGTACTGTACTTCCAAAAACAGGAACTTTGTAGTGACAGGCAAAGCTGTATGGCTGATTTGGAAATGTTATTACTATACATTAATAATTCAGTTGTCATTTCTGACAGTCATCAGTTCCTCTGCAAATAAGCAACTTTTCTTGAGTTTGTGAGATGTAGCACTCAAATACACAAGAAGTGGAACACAGGTACCAAAACACACATCCCTGCTACATCATTGTACTTACCATCTGTCGATAGCTTGTTTGCTGTATTGATTAGCTGAGGCTAGATCATAGCTGGCTGTAATGTGGCCACACAGAGGGATGACGGGGGTTGAGATTAGGCCTTAGAAATCATGGAGCACAAGTTGCTGAGAGGTGTCCAAAAAGGTCTGAGATTTTCATTGATTTCATTGGGAGTAGGATTTGACTCATAAAGAAGAGACTCTTTTTAAAAGATGGTGTTTTTTTTTTAAAATCATGTAATACTTAAATTTGTGCTTCGCTGTATTGATTGTGTAAGAGAAAGTGAAGAATTGGAATGTGAAAATCAATCTTGACCTCGGTATTATTGCACAATTTCCCAGAGTTACAGATCCAATAAAGAGCAGTTTTTCATCATTGTAACTTCATGAGATTGTGTATCTCAAAACAGCTGAAAAGAGAATGAACTAAGATTGTCAAAAGACACCTGTTCATGATGCCTAAACTTTGACAAATCAAGAAGAAATTCAGATGTAAACTTTAGCAGGGATATGGGGACTAGAGAAAAAGAATCAGGCAAGCACAAGTCATCTTTAGAATAGAAAAGAAAATTAAAAGTCACAAATGCATTTATTAATGAACATGAAATCCTTCAGGATTGATTTCAAAAGCAGTTGCATTTATATAGCTTAGATGTCTATCTAATTACATATGAAAAGGGGAGAAGTAAACACATAGGTACTAAAAAATACACATACAAACTAGTGGTTGTGGCATTGGATGCTGAGTTCAGGCCCTCTTAAAAATCAGGGCTTCAGCCTTTTTTGGCTTTAGTAATGGTGACTATTTATTATGTTTAAATATCTTAAAGCCTGTTGTCATGTTACTATGGAAAGAGCCAAGGCTGTTTTTGTTTTGTTTTGTTTTTTCAGAAGAGGCTGACTGAATTCACATACGCCGGGAACAAATACTAAGTTTTCTTCTGACAAATGTCACTTCCACCGTGTTCAGCTATACAGTGTTAGAAGCTGGAAATTGAACTGTAACAAAGAAACAGTTCTGGGAAAATGCAGGGAATGTTTCCTAAAAGCATATACTGTAAGTATGCTAAACAAAGCAATACATTAATAATAAACTGATTGGGAGAAATACAGATAACGAAGCATGTTGATCTGACAGCAAATGTGTGTGCATCCTGCCATCTAGTGTTTGTAAGAGCAAGTGTCAGCACATTGTCTGGAGAACATATTGTATATGATAAATTTGTTAAGTCATAACTGTGGCATCCTTCTCTTCAGTCTGTTTAATTGGTATGAATCTATAACTGGCTCTTATGTACAAACAAAATTCTTGAAAATGTACTTTGTTGTATCCTTCAAATTACTGTGAACACTATTTGCCAATGAACCGTTATGTTCATTGTTATGATGATTTCCATATTAAATGTGCCCAGTAAAAATATGGAGGTTTTCTTCTAAAAGCCTGTCCTGCAAATTGAGCCTGTGCTCTGACACAAGCTGCATGCTTTTCATCTTACACATCATCACCACTAATAAAATTTCTGTAGTCCTTCACTTATACTTCTGCAACCCCATTGTCTGCAATTTATGATAGTCCAATGATACAAATAATCGACTGATGACTGCCTGGAAATAATTATGTCCATGATGCACAATATGGATCAGAATCTGCAGCTCATAGCAGTGTTGGGTGCGCAGGGCTATGTGAAGTAAAGCAGGAAATGTTTAGTGCTGTACCTCAGGTCAGCAAATACGACTCTGAGCGCACACACAGAGTAACCTAGTGAGTAAGAAGGTGCCATTGGTACAATAATTTTTCAGAGGCAAACTTCACTTTAATGCTTGAAGGTGCATTGCCCCATCTAAAATTTTGACCCCAGAGTTGCTGATATCTCTAACATCCATGTGTTCAAACATACTTGAACTTTTGAGAATCAAGCTAGCCCTTGCCAGATTCTGAACAGAGACTGTGTTTAAATCTATTCATATGTGAATTTGTGAATTTCTCATTCCCATCCCACCCTTTAAAAACAATAATTTTGAGGAAAGGGACAATGTATCCCCTTCAATATCTATAAGTGATGTCTACTTTAAAAAAGTCCTTTTGAATATTATTATGACATTACCTACTATTAGTAAAAAGGGCAAAATTTTGGTGGAGCTTCTGTCACTTCCCTCCAAATTGCTAAGGGATCCTCATATAACAATTTGAGGGAACCCACAGACCATGTCACTGTACACATTCTAGTTGCCAATTGTAAGCAGGGCAATAAAATCATTTAATCAACAATGTATCACTTCATATTCAGGTAGGATTTTCTTACCTCCTGTACTCAGTCTACTGATGTAGCATTTCTTAAAAAAGAAAAAAGCAGAAAGAAAAACCCACTTTCTTTACTGCTTCATCACTTTGCATCAGGTTCCTAGGACTATCCCCAACCCCTCTTGAATTCTCTAACCCACGTACTGCACAAAAATTTTTTGCTATATTTTCAGGCCTGGGTCAGCGGCATGAGAATTATTACTTTTGTGACTCATTTCTTTGTAATTTCATATGTAATGAAAGTAAGCAAGCTATCCAGGCATGGAAATGAAACTATGTATGATACAGATAGATATATTTCTCAGCATGTGGTAGGATATTAACATGCAATGAACTATAAAGATGGAATTGCAATGTCATTTTCTTACCTAAATTTCAAGTTTAAAAAAAATACTTTGTGCATTTTTTTCATCTTCAAAATATTGGCCTGCTCCAAAACAAACAAACAAGCCTGCAAAATACTATCAGCTGTTAATACAAAATGAATAATTAAAGGCATAGGAAAGCCAGCTTAGAATGCAACGTTTTCCTGCTAGAGGGAAAAATAAGTTATACTCCATGATCTCTACCAAAGACTCATCTACTAGTCCATTTGTTTTCCAGCATATTTCACTGGAAAACAAATTACTGGTATTACAAACATTGCCCTTTTTGTGTTACTTTCTGGGGACAAAATTTGGTAGAGTCCTGGTACTTGTTTTCATAAATAATTAGGATGGGAGAAAACAATGTGATGCTCTAAATATAGTCTCATTGGGCCATTTGAGCAGCTCAAGATCACCAAGTTATAGAAACAGCCTAGATGTTCTCTCTGTTCCTCCACCATATCCCCTATACCCGGAATGGTGGTGATGTAATTCTCCCATAGCTGGTTAACCTGGTTTCCTAGATACTTTGGATTTGAGTAGTGGATGTGTCTCATTCATTGAATATTGACATTCACTCATTTTTATTTCCTTATTTGTTTTATCTTATCGTGTTGTTCTTATTCTTATAAGAGTTTAAAAAGTCTGTCGTACACACATAACTTCCTTATTCCAAAGCTCATCTTTTTGTCGGTATGGGCTAATGTTGATGGTGAACTGTTTGCTATTATTAATACCTTGTGTGTATGTCTCACGTTATTTAGGATCTAGTGGAGTCATTCTTCAAAATGTTTGATATGTTTAATCAGTTTAGCAGAGAAAATATGGATTGTAATTTTCATTTCCAGGGGTTTTTTTATGTTATTCATCCTGAAAGTTCTCAAAATGAATGTGCAAAATCTTTGACAAATTTCCACACATGCTTAGATCTATTTTCTATCAGCTTGGATATCTATTGGCATGTCAATATTTATTTTTGTATGTGCAATTTAACAACGCATAGACCATTTTTTGCCTCCATTTAAGAAAACACAGCCCCATACAGTACGTTCATATATAGTAGGGGTGGCCAACCTGTGGATCCGGAGTCACATGTGGCTCTTCAGAAGTTAATATGTGGATCGTTGTATAGGCACCAACTCTGGGGCTGGAGCTACAGACGCAAACTTTCCAGTATGCCGGGGGGTGTTCACTGCTCAACCCCCTGCTCTGCCCCCTCTCCATCCTTTCCTGCCCCCTTCCCTGAGCCTGCCGTGTCTTTGCTCCTCCCCCCAGCAAGAGCCTCCTGCATGCCACGAAACAGCTAATGGGGAGGTGCGGGGGGTGGGAGGAGGAGGTGCTGATCAGCGGGGTTTCCGGTGGGTGGGAAACGGGCGGGGGGAGCTGATGTGGGGCTGCTGACATATTACTGTGGCTCTTTGGCAATGTACATTGGTAAATTCTGGCTCCTTCTCAGGCTCAAGTTGGCCATCCCGATATATAAGCTCAGTGAGTGAAACTTGGTTGAATAATTAACAAAATGTAATGGACAGTATCTTAAAGAGAAATGGTCTTTCTGATTTAAACTAGACATGGATATGAGCCACAAACATGGAATCTGGTTTCAGGTTCAGAATCCCTGAAAATGTGGGACTGTTTGAATTAGGGGTTTGTTTTTTAGTTCATGGCCATCTCTAATTCAAACACATGAAGTAATGCACATGCTAACGGCTGTGATTTGGTCTCTAAGTGGTTGTGTTCTATACGTATTCAAAGAATTTAGTAATGTTGTATTTTTCTCTCCTAGGAGACCCTATATGTTTTTCTTCACATGAAGCTCACTTTGAAATATTTGGATAAAATGAGATGCTTACGGAAACGATCAGCAGTATCATTCTTAGGAGTCCTTGTCATTTGCCTGCTCTTCATGAACTTGTACATTGAAGATGGTTATGTCTTGGTAAGTTTCTTAGGTGGAAGAAATGGGTCATGGAACAAGCACAGAGTACAAGGTACCACAAGTACTCAGCCAAATTAGAAAATGGCTGGAAGTCAAAATGACAGTTGCAACTCTCCTGGTTTAGTGGGCTGTTCATGAGTCTCCTCAAAATGACTCATATTACATATATATATATATATATATATGAATATATGAGAGGGTGCCATTAAAATCTTGATGTTTTCTTCTTATAGAAGTAACATATATCACAGTATTTCCCACTGTCCGTGTAAGAAGCACTGCAGACATGACAAGTAAGGTATCTAGCACAGTGTGGAGCCATACCTCTTGAATTTCTCCATTTTAGTCACAAAATTATCTCCATTCTGCACACATTTGGATTTCCCTCATTTTAATTCTTGAAAATTATTTACGTCTGAGGTAATCGTGTGAACTAAAAGACCCAGGTTCAGTCCCTGCTGATAATGACCCACCCAGGGGCGTGGCATTACACATACAACTAATGTGACAGAAGACTCAATTACACAACAGGAATTAATCCCTCATCATTTTCATTTTCTTGCATGAATATTTGTTTTTCAGTGTCTCATTTTGAGTCTCTGTCGTGCCATGTGTCCCAAATTTGGGCCTTTGGCAGGTGGAAAGGTATTGATGGGAACCTCAAAGTTTTCATGGTACCTGTTGTAAACTTATGATTTAAAGGTAGGATTTCCTAAAGCACCTGAATCAGTAGCTTCAATCACTAAACTAGTGATAATGTGATGTAACTCTACAGTTTGCGCTGGACATATGCCACAATTTAAGGTCAAATGACTTCTGAGATACTAATGGTAGTATAGACATTGAGAGTTGGACAACATTTGAAAGGAGACAACTGTTTAAGGCCTAGCTCTTGCAGTCACATGAGTAAAGATAAGCATGAAACAGCATGATCTGTGGGACAGGGTATTGGATTTGGAGTCAGAAGACCTGGTTTCTCTTACTAGGTCTGCCACTGACCTGCTTGAACAAATCACAAGTCACTTTACTCCTCCGTACCTCTGTTTCCCCTCCCATTCTTTGTCTTGTATATTAAGAACATACATTAGTGGGGGAGGGGGGTACATTTTTGTCTGTTACTATGAAACTAGCACAATGGAGTCCCACTCAGCCTGTAGTCAGTACTGTAATACAAGTAAGTTATAATAAATATATAAGGATTTTCAATATCAGGGCCAAAGACATTAATAGGCAATGTTCAATAATATCAAACTTATGCTAAATTGAAATTGTGATTTTAAAAAAGTGATATTACTATATTATCACTGCTAGCCAATTCATTTTCAAGTAATCCAAAAGAGAATCCCTGTTTTTTGGTATGCCACTCCACTTTTTGATATATTGCTTCCCCTAGTGACATTGTTTGCATTGAGATTTTGTACAGTATCTTATTTATTCATTGTCTCTTAGTTGTGGTAATATTTGACCTGGCTCATGCCATATTTTCTTCCCGTGTCATCCACCCTGATGCTTCTCTTGCTTCTGCTAATTGCTTCAAATTCCCCCCAGATGCTTCTGAAAGTGCATCTTTTTGGTTCATTTTTTAAATCCTTTTCTGTCCTGTTTGCCGACTCCAGCAATGTCTTATTCTTAATTTTTTTTTTTACATTCACTTCCTTTTATTATTTTTCTCATCACAAATCTGACATGTTTGAGCTCATGTAGCTCCCAGCCAAGTCTTTTACTTTCTCCTGACAGTTTTCCCAGATTTCCTGATACCTTTATGGTCCATCAACCATTTTTCAAATGTGTTAGGCTGTTGGCTTTTTTATTTTATTTTATTTTATTTTATTTTCTACATCCCTGACCACATTTGACAGCTCCCCTGGTCCATCTCATGTTTTCTTTGCTAAGGGAGTAGATCAGCAGTTTAAATGTGGGAGTTTAGAAATAATATGCCAAATAGTTCCCTTGCAGGAAAAAAACACATGTAGGGAACTGGGAACTCTCTGCAAGGCTCTCCCTGACTCCCTATATGTGTGGAGTAGCACTGCCTGAGGCTCTCCTGCTAATCACTGCCTCTGGAAAGTGCCCTTAAGTTAGCTGATGAGGGAATGATGCCCATCCCCAGTCCTTCCCCAGCTACCTTTCTCAGATACCCAGCCCAATGGAGAACAAGGCTATGATTCCCCCTCCCCCACATTGAGTGTGAAATTCTTTGCATTTTTCATTAACATGGACTGTGAAAGTGTGGCTGGCCCCTTTAAGTGAAGCAGGTCCCGCTCCCCTATGCCAGAACAGTTGCTCCCAATGGGTATGTCTACATTGCAATTAAACATCCAGGCCTGGCCTGTGCCATTGGACTCGGGCTCACATGGCTCATGCTGCGGGGCTGTAAATTCGCAGTATAGATGCTCAGGAGATCCACAAGGGGCAAGGACCCCAGAACTGGGGCTCCAGCCTGAGCCTGAACATCTACACTGCAGTTTTAGAGTTCTACAGCCTGAGGCCAGTCATCTGGGTCAGCCAGGGGTGTTTAATTGCAAAGAAGACAGAGAGAATTTGGCTAATTGAGAGGGCAAGGCACCACCTGGGGCTATGTAGTGCTAGGTTGTCAGTAAGGAAGGGGGAACAGGAGCAGTAGGGAGACCCCTGGGTGGGGAGCCAGTGGGAACCTGCTGGGGAGAAAACCTGGGGGGTACTCAGCTAAAAAAGCAAGGAAGGACTTTTTTAGTCCTTGCAAGAAGGACCGAAAGAGGCAAGGGGGTAAATAACCTTGGATCTGTAGCCTAGGGTGAGCTGAAGAGCCGTGCCTGTTTTTGTGTTTGGAAAACAAAACCATGCCTGGGAAGAGAGGCTTGGAGTGGCAGTGAGTCTTTGTGGGCTGGAGACAAGCCAGCACCTTACAGAGACCATTTCCCTTCTCCCTCCGCCCCCCAAAAGTGAAAAATGTTGATTTTGGGGGCTTTCAAATTTCATTCAGAGTCTCTCGCATGTCTCCAGTAGAATCCACTCACTATTGCTGCGTAAAAGTGTTGACTTTCTTGTGGGTATTGAAGTGGGAACAGAAATCTCCATTTCAAGGCATGAGCCCACTGGGGGATAGTGCAGCAAAGACAACTTTGCTTAAGCAGCCTTAGTGATACAACTACAGTTCATGTACGTGATGTGCAGCATTGACACACATTGGCAGGGCAATGTGGGAATGCTGAAATTGCAGCTGTGTGTGCTGATCCTGATCAATGGATCCAGAAACTTTCATGAACACTAAATTCACTTAAACTCGGAATGTGCCTGGTTCAATGCTGACCTTAAGCATATATTGTAGGTTGTAAGTGATAGGGAGAAGGGACCGTGTCTTTTTATTTCTATTGTAAATATAAGTACCCTTTGGGGGCATTGTAAAAGTAATAACAATATTACATATGGGGATCCTCTGAAGAGCAAAGTGTCTCTTGAGAGCCAATTAACTCCTTCAGCTCCCAGGAAAATTAAGGGAATCTCACAAAGTCGGGCAAATGTAGTACAAAGTGTATATATTACTGACTGACTGCTTCTTCCCCCTGCACTTACTTCCCTCTCTGGGTGCACACTGTTTTCCTGATTAATGCCTGAAAACTAGGATCACTACAGAAAAATCAGGAGACAGAGTAACCAGCAGGCCTAGTGGATCAGCTGTATGAACATCTGTTTGGTAACCCCGTGGGGTCAGGGCATGGACTCTAGCTAGTCCATTGAGCTACATTCTAATCTGGAAAGTGATACACATAAAGCTTTGTTTCATAACTTATCAGTAAATGCAAGGTAGCCTAGCAGCACTAGAAAGAAATTACCCAGGGAGATCTTGCAGAATGAGAGAGCATAACAGGTCAGGTAGCTGCGTCTGGATGTTAGCCAAGAGAACCTGACTCAACTCATAAATGGATTATTTATTTCTTCAATAAAAGAAAAATAGTGAACTTAATGTGAACATAAGATAGGTTTCTGTATGTGAGATAGGTTTCTTACATCCCTGATTGTGAACCTGAATAACATTGAAATAAATGTTGTTTATTTTTTTCTCCTTTCTGCTCTTGTTAGCAATATTATTGTTTATTGCATAGTGCTCTCTTTTAATCAAAGCTCAAGTCACTTGTCTTGCATTAATGTATTGTAGCACACATGTGAAACTGCCATATAATTTTCTTACTCTTCTCAGGGGCAACATCACCCAATGTGAACTACAAAAGCATTCCTAACTCTAACCTCAACTCCATGGCACCACAGCTCCAATGGAAAATTTTCTTCTTTGCTTAAGCATTAAGAGACAGATGGTGTGGGTGGGGCACTGTGTATGCCATAGTGGTATGGAGACCCTCAACTCAAAGAGAAAGGGGAGAGATGGGAAAGAGGCAGGGCCATAACCCTATCCTTTCTCTGCACCAGTCTACTTTGGTGGCAGGGCATGCAGTGGGTGCAGGCACCAACATCCTTTAGCATAGTACAGTCTATGCACTTCCCCTGCGCATCAAGGATCTAGGGAAGGAATGGTCCGTTCTCAGGGAAGTGCCAGAGTGGTACAGTCTTGCCTTAGGTCTCAGAATATTATTTCATGTTTCACCTGCAACAGTTTCTAATATCACAAAAAATAAAAGTTAAACACTTCCCCACTGTACCGTCAAGGGGGATTATGTCCTACCTTGAATATAGCAGCACTTTTCTGGCAATACTGTAATGCTCTCAATTCTTTTAGAGAACTAGATCTTCAGTGTTTCTATGCCAAAGGGCTTTTTCCTCTTTCCCAATTACTCTTAATCTGAAACTATATGGTAGATTTCTTGTAATCAAAAATATATAATATTCAGATAACAGATTTTTAAAATGAGGTGAGATTTAAATGTTTTCTAGAAAACTAACTTTGAAAAAGTTAGTTCTTTGAAATTTGTCTGTCCCCCTTGTCTGTTTGGCCAGCATTCACAAATATATTTCTCTCTGTATTTCCCCTCCCATGTGCTCTCTCTCTCTCTCTCATTCTGTCTCTTTTCATCTTACTAGGAAGGGGACAAGCAATTAATCAGAGAAACAGCCACACACCAGCTTAATTCAGAGCGCTATGTTCACACTTTTAAAGACTTGTCAAATTTCTCAGGATCTATAAATGTTTCCTATCGCTATCTAGCTGGCACACCTTTGCCAAGGAAAAGTAAGTAACCAGAATCTGACTTTCATTAAATGAAGTAAGATGTTACCTCAGATGTTTTTTACAGAAATTAATTATTTCATTTTAGAATTGTGTGAAAACTCTTTCACCTACAGTGAAATTCACAATGCTGCCTGTTCCATAGATCTCCCATGGTACTTCTGCACAGGGATGATATAAGGGAACAATGCAGGTGCACTTCTGGATCTCCATGGACTGAGATGGGTTGAACCACTGAATCCTCACTTATGTGGATCCTATAGCTGGGAACACCCATATATAGGGCATGAAGGTCATTCCATAAGCTGGGACCATAGAGGGACTGAGCCACAGCACTATAGCCTGCAATGAGGGGATTTTCCCACACTCAGATTTTCCCACACTCAGGCCCCAGGTAGGACAGTTCCAAACTGTCTGGTTATTCTGACTTTATGCAGTTGGTTCAATAAAAGATATTGCCTCACCCACCTCATCTCTCTAATATTCTGACTTTAGGCAGGAGTCAAGACTTTCACCTTCACACAGAAACATGCCAATATTTGGCTTTGGACAGGTCACCTCGGAGCACCAAATCAATCATTTCACACACACAAACAAAGAAAGTGAGGGTCAGAATGGAGAAGTCCAAGCATACATCCAATGCATAAGATCAAGCATCGAGAGGAAAATAAGACATCTGTGAGTTGTTGGTCTTCCTAGGACAGGGTTACAATGTAAATGTTAGTTGAAATGAGGTTTGAGATGTTTGGGGTTGTGTAGGCAGTGCTGATGACTGATGGCGTTTGTACTATACTGCACTACAACTACATTTTGAGTGGACAGTTTAGAGGAAGGCCACAGGACACCTCATTGGAACGTGATCTGCAAAATTTTGCAAATCAAAATATTTATGTAGAGTTTTGGTCAGCTCCAATGGAAATGAAGCATACTAGTTTTAACATGAATCTATTTGTACAGAAAATATGGGGATGAACTGATTTTCTTAAAAGTGTAGTTGCTCACAATTCCAACAGAGATTGCATTTCATCCAAACAGCTAGATTCTAATAATAGATTTGGAGTGCATGTTAACAAATATCTTAAAGAACTCAGCTAATGCTGTAGGCACATATGCAAGAAAAGCTATTTCCAAATACCACAGGCGGCAATTCATGCCACATACCTGAGATTCAAATCATACCCAAAAGGTTTTAAATGCACTAAAAACGACTTATAGAAATACAAATATTCAGTAGTCAACTGTATTGTACTTTTAAGTGAAATCTGATTTACTTGTCTCAAATTCAATCTATTACTTGTCTCAAATTCAATCTTCAGTCTATTTCTAACTGAAAAAATAAAGGAAGTTTGTGATAGGAATTCTAACAAGGAAAAACGAGAGTATTGGAAAATATTTAAAAACTGAAAATGCTAGAAGAAATCATCCATGAAAAGCTTAGAAATCCTCAAAACTATGTATAAATGTAATTAAGCTTGTTACAGTACCATAAAATGGTAAAAGCAAGGCAATTATTCTTTAACTCTTACTTTTGTGCTATTTTTCATAATGGCTTGACTTAAGAACAATTTGTGAGCCGTAACTTTTCAATCCCATTTCTTTATAGCTTTAATATTGTCTATATGTATTTCTTTTTTTCTAATAGGCACATATGCACACATCGCTTTGGCTTTAGTCCATTTCACAACACTTCTTGCAGTTAGGAAACTAATGTTTAATTCAATAGTCTCCATATGTCAAATTGCTTACAATACAATTCTTCTTTCATTGAAAAGCATAGAACAGTCTTTGTGGCGTACAGCTTAATACGTTTACATATCAAACATCCCAGACTTCATCATTCAGAAGGTTTATTTAATACACTACAGGCCTGGAGGTTAGCTTTGTTGCTATATGATTTTCAAAGTCTGATTCATGTTCAGTTAATCTTTCTGTCTGAATTTTCTTCTGCACAGAGTATCTTACTATTGGACTATCCTCAGTCAAACGGAAAAAGGGGAATTATTTGCTTGAGACGATCAAGTCCATATTTGAGCAGTCAAGTTATGAGGAACTGAAAGAAATTACGGTGGTGGTTCACCTAGCAGATTTCGACTCATCCTGGTGTGAAGGGATGGTCCAGGATATTTCACAGAAATTTGCTCATCACATCATTGCTGGCAGGTTAATGGTTATCCATGCCCCTGAGGAGTACTATCCAGTACTGGATGGCCTTAAGAGAAATTACAATGACCCAGAAGACCGTGTGAAGTTCCGATCCAAACAAAATGTAGATTATGCTTTCCTGCTTAACTTTTGTGCTAATCTTTCTGAGTATTATGTCATGCTAGAAGATGATGTTCGATGCTCTAAAAACTTCTTAACTGCTGTTAAGAAAGTAATTACCTCGCGAGAAGGTTCCTATTGGGTGACTCTGGAGTTTTCCAAACTGGGCTATATTGGAAAGCTATACCACTCCCATGACCTCCCACGCCTGGCTCATTTTTTGCTGATGTTTTACCAGGAAATGCCTTGTGATTGGCTGCTAATCCATTTCCGTGGATTGTTAGCTCAAAAGGACGTCATCCGCTTTAAGCCATCTCTGTTCCAGCACATGGGATATTATTCATCCTACAAAGGAGCTGAGAACAAGCTAAAGGATGACGACTTTGAAGAGGATTCATTTGACATCCCTGACAACCCACCCGCAAATCTTCACACCAACATAAATGTATTTGAAAACTACGAGGCAAGCAAGGCTTACAGTAGCATTGATGAGTACTTCTGGGGGAAAGCTCCTTCTACTGGAGATCTCTATGTGATTGTATTTGAAAAGCCTATTAAAATCAATAAAATTAAAGTTATCACTGGAACAGAAGACCGTCAAAATGACATCTTGCATCACGGAGCCCTGGAAGTTGGGGAAAAGATTGTAGGGAGCAAAAAAGGGAGGCAATGCACTACTTACTTGAGACTAGGGGAGTTCAAAAATGGAAATTTTGAAATGACAGATGTGGAACACAAAGTTCTGTTTGATATTAACTGCATGAGAATACTTGTTACCAAAAGTCAAAAGGAATGGCTGATCATTAGGAGCATTAGCATTTGGACTTCTCAGCCACCAAATCAATAAGGCAAAATTACTGAAGCTGGTCCTCCTTCTTTCGTGGTGGAGTGAATGCCATCGGTTGGGTCCCAACTGGTGTCATTCCCCAAGGAGACTGACTTAATTCCTATTATTTACTACTGACACTGGAAATCTGGGGAAGTCATAAAACAAGCAAAAGCAATTTATTTTGTACTAGTCCGCCAGGCAATATACAAACACTAGTTTGTTGGAATGTTTGAATTTTATAGGAAATGTAAACATGTTCTCATCCATCACTTAAGATTCAGAAACCTTTCTCTTTTATTTTAATTTCTCCTTTGGGAAGAACTGCTGTACTAAAAACAAAGCCAATGTTTTTCCATTATTCAGAAGTTTTGTAGGTTTTGACCAGTATGTTGTCAGATGAAATTTGACTCCATCATATCCACATATAAATTAATAATCAGATGGTAGTACGTTTGTACAATAGTTGGTGGTGTATTTGTTTGAAAGACAGTTGTGAAAATGAAAGTCTGTTAATGGAGCTTGCAATTTTATTTGAGCACTGTAAGAAAACAGTATGGTTAAACATTGTGATTAATTTTAAATGAAAATACATGTACAGTTATAAATCTGACATGACAATACTGTAAAAATATTTAATTGCATCATCTATCCAGTCTCAACAAATATGCTTTGTCCTTCTTCCAGGGTCCTGTCATTGAAATGGTTCACCAGTTGTATTTTATGTCACTTAGGGCCCAACCCTGCAATCCTTATTCAAGCAGTCACACAGTCAATGGGAGTTTTGTTTGAATAAGGACTGTAGGATCAGCCCCTGAGCTTTAAGGACAAAATTATCCTTTCAGATTTGCTTGGAAGTAGTTTTCATCTTTAATATTATGCTCTTCCAGCACATTCAGAGCTCCCAGTGATGTCAGTTGGAGAACTGCACAAAGCTGAGCACTACCGTATGGTCTGAGAGAAGAGTTTTGTACTCAATGTTTAGATCAGTGGTGGACAACCTGCAGCCCATCAGGGTAATCTGATTGTCAGCCATGAGACATTTTGCTGACATTGAACGTCCTATGGCATGGCTCTCCGCAAGTCCCAGTGGCCACAGTTCACCATTCCTGGCCAATGGGAGCTGTGGGAAGCAATCAGATTACCCTAATGGGCCACATGTGACCCGCAGGCCGCAGGTTGCCCACCACTGGTTTAGACATCCATCTCCCATCCGATGCAGATGAAAGATCTATAAGGTTCAACAATAGAGGCTGAAGGTGATCACTGATCTTCCCTGGTTGATGTCTCTGCAATAGTGCTGTGTGAAACATTTCCCACCTTTTGCAAAAACAAGAATACTGGTTTTGCTGGATGTTTAAGAAGTAAATACTTTGCCAAGTTAGTTTTGAATTTTTTTCAGATTTTTCAATGCTGAATAAATTGTCTTAGGAGCCGTCTTTCCCCAGATGATGTTTTGGTTTATATACTATCTGGACCTGTTCCTTTGAGGTGCTGAGCACTTACTGACAGGGGCTGATTGTCCTCCATTCCTATTGATTTCAGTGGGAGTTGTGAGCTTTAATACTCCACAGAATCAGACCCCCATATGTATACAATACATATTATATATAAACACATCTGGATTACCAAAATATATAGGAGATCTTATTATTCTTTAAGGCATTCCAAAAACTTTCTTTAATGATACTGGGAACTATACAAGTATATCAATAGCAGCACAGATGAACACTATATTACTAGTCTCATGAATATTGTGGTAATCATCAAATTGCATGTCCTGGTTTCAGCTGAATCTAGGAGGTAAGGATTAAATTGCAAGAATGCCTGTACTGACCAAAAACTCCAAGTCGAAGTGAACTAAATATTGTACTCTGCATACTAGCAAGCCTGACGTGGTTATTTCATAAGGGCAGATTATTCACAGGTCTACAAGAAGCAGCAATCTAATTGCTTTTCCTGATTCATAAATCCTACTAAATTCAGATGCAGGTTTGGCAAATCCCTACTTACAGCAGCAATGTACTTTAAAATAGATGGTCTAGTAAATACCTTTACAAAGTACACAAAAGTGTCCCCTTCCCAAAGAGAAGAGTCTTTGTTTCTCTTGTTTCTTAATACTTACCCAGAACTCTAATCTCTGTGAAAACAGGATATTTTAAATACAGTTTGGCAGTTCAACTTTAGACCCCACTGCAGTTTAGCTAAATTAAAAATACCCACTAAGCTTAAACCAATTCTTACCTAAATATACATGAGAGACTTGCTATTTATATGTTAAATTATTTTCTATGGTAACCAGCTAATTTTATGGTCAACCCTAAAACTCCTTTAAACACACAATAAATTCTTTTTTGCTTCATTTACCATTAGTGACAAAGAAATTTCAATAAGGAGCACTGAACATCTGAAAACTGATGTAGAAACTAACTGCCTGGTTATATATAAATGTGCTGTTTCCAAAACAAATACATTTTGAATTAGCACAGATAGTAAACACAATCCCAAGGCTTAAAATGCCCATGCATCCAAAATGATATTCAATTTGAAAGTTTTAGAATAAATTAAATGTTCTCTGCACAAACCTGAAATAATTTAATTGCTATTTTTAAACTACAAATGGTAAATATTTTAAAAATCATTTATTGAGCTGTGCCTCCCCCCACCCCCATGCCCCCAGAAAAATCTTACCATTAATGCAGCTGGAAAAAAAGCACATGTCGCTGTATTTACTGAAAAAGTAAATAGTTGTGACAACAATTTATAGTTGTGACAACAATTTCAGGGCGTGAAATTCACCCCAGTGCAGAGGAATGGCACAAGGTCCCTCCCATCACTTAAATCCCATTTATAGCCTATTTTCATGCCTTATGTGAGACTAATGCTGTCCCTATGCATCCAGATAAATTTCACCCTCATGAACGTGACTGGCAAATTTTATACCTGGTTTTTTTTTTTAATGTGAAAATGTTGATTTTTTTCCCCCTGGAACAAATTTACAAGTATAAGAGTTTTTCAAAAGTTAGCGTTTTTCTATGCATGATGCAAGAAAAGCTATTTCTTAGCAAAAAGGACACTTTTAATCATATTTGTGGATTTTCACGAACATGCCCCAAAGTACTGGATTTTCTTTTTTTACTAGTGACTGCTGATGAAGCAAATAATTGGTAGTTTCACACAGTTCTATTCACTGGTGAGTACAGGTGTTTCTATGTTTTTGTTATTGTGTATTTCTTGTGTTCATTCGTGGATCAAATATCCAGTTCCCTTGTAGTGAAATGGAAATGTAGAACCATTTTTTAAATATGATACTTAGCCTGCATACTAATGGATCTATTCTTCACTGGGTATATATGCATCATTCCACTGGCATTACTTGGCGTTGCATATGTCCATCAAAGGCAAAATAGACTTCTTAAAATGTAATGCCCATGGGCTTTTTTTTTTCTTTACTAAGAGTCAGTTTTTTCCATCCTTATTCATAGTGGGTAATCCCTTTGACTGGGACCAGTTGAGGAGCAAACTACTACTTAATATGAGTAAGGAGGAATAATCTAGCCTTAATTTGCTGCAGTTTACTCTACAAACCCAAGTGAAAGTAGTTGGCTGGCTACACCATATCATCGTTTATTCCTTGTACTGTATATTCTCGAATGAAGAGACTTCACTAAGGTGCTATATAAATGTATTGTTTTTATATCAGTCTGATCTGATCTGATCTGTTTTAGCATTCACCCAGTATTCTGTTGTGTTAGGCACAGTTAATGTTTTGTTTTTTTAAGAAAGCAAATGAAGATCCTTTTCTTTACTGGATTAAAAATAAAATCAAAATTAAAGTGCTTCACCTTGGAAAACTGTAAAAGGGAACATGGTTAGACACCTTATCTGCAAATACAACCGGCCTGCATTTTGAAATGTATTACCAGTCTTGGCGGAATTGACACCACTGAATAATCACATCTGATGTCTTCATTTGTGATCCCTGCATGTCTGAATGAGTTAGAAGTTAACAGCAGTGATACATGATGTATAATGAGATGATGTAAAATAACACATTCTCATATGGCACAGTGCAGTGCTTTGCAACAACCAGGGGGGATATACGAGTGGATTCCAATGAAAACAGCTAATATGATTCCTTTCTCTGTCAGATTCTAAACAAGGTAAATAGCTTGAATCACAACCACTGTGTGAACTTTCCCATATGCTCTCACTGAAGTCAATTCCAAAATTTCAATTGGCTTCAATGGGAGCAGGATTAGGCCTATGTAATATTCATACTTGAAGGTGTGGATTTAAAGGTTCACGATGTAACTATTTATGCAGAACTAAAACCAAAAATCTATGGTCCTTATGTTTCCATTTTTCTTCTCAGCACTAAAGATGGCCTGAAATGGAAGTAGACTCCTTGCTGGTTCCTCTTTGTATCATAGCTCTACTGCAGTGCAACATCATTCCCAGCTTGCCTCGAGAGGCTGATTCTTCTAGGAGTTTTGAAACAGTGAATCCGTTCCAGTGTTACCTAATCTACAGTATTATTTCTCAAGTGCCAGTTGGGGGTAGTACTTCTGAAAACAATGTTGTATAGAGACAGGATCAATACTGCCATAAATGATGATTGAGAAGAGAAAGTATCTGCCATATTAGTGTGTCACAACTATAAAACTTAGAGAAATCCAAAACAGAGTGGGCCAGCTTTTATTCGTTATTGGTTATTTGCTAGTTGTCAAACTGCCTACTAAGGGCCCAGGGTGAAATTCACCCCTGTACAGAGAGCCAACAAATGGCCTATAAGTCATTTATATCCCAGTTAAGCCTTGAAAATAATTAAGTGACATTTAAATAGTTAATCAAGCCTAGAGCTGGCCCTATGCACAAGGGTGTGTGTATGAGTTTTGCCTTCAACTAATGAGTCTGAACATAAGAAGCAGACTTTTATCTCCTCTGTTCACCTCGTTAGGTACAGCTGTGTCTTACTTCTGACCTTCCAATTGCTCTTTATTCAGTCATATTTTCTTTTTTCTTCCTAGCACTTTAGAAAATCAGGACTCCTGGAACAGCAGGTTAAAAGTCTGAATTCTGGTTGACTTTGAATTGCTGTATTTCCCCATCTCTGTATGAAATGATCCAGTTTCTTACTATTCTTGGCAAATAAGCCTCACAAGCATGAAGTTCAATTTTGTTGGCTGTTCCCCATCACACAGACTGTTATTAGGACAAGGTTGTCTGGATAACTATATCAAGCAAAGTTTTTGATTTTGTTTTTGTTTGTTTTTTTGTGATTTTTTTTAAAAATTAAGTTTATTTTCCAAAGGTAAACACATACCTTATAAAAAGTGTTGGTGTTTAATTTTTAAAACAAGGATCCAAACTTTCTTTGTGGATATACTGTATATTTTGTGAGCAGTTTGAAAAAGATGACATTTACACACAATGACATGGTAACATGAAAAAAAAATAAATGAAAGAACTAAATATATTTAGTAGAAGGAAGAAACCATGTGTTGCTGGGCAACTGGATCAAACAGGTATATTTCTTTTGTAGAATTGCACTTAAGCAGTTAACCTTCTTGTTTAAGGGCAGAGGAATAGAATACTCCTTCCTGTCCGCATATTGTATTAACCCTTTTATAAGAGACATCCACATGGCCCTAGCTTTATCCTGCTCTTGCTGCTTCAATGAAAATAATTTGTTCACCTTTAAAAACGATTGACCTAGGCATGCTCAGAGATGTGGCCCAGAAACGATTGTATTAGCAATCTACTCAGGTCAGTGTGGTTCGACAATGGAATAATCTTGTCTACCTACATGAATAGAATTGTGGCAGACATGGGGAAATAGTTATTTATCCATGCTCTAGTACCTGTAATTTATTTTAAAATAAAAGAAATGACATGAAAAGAGTTTTTCTGCTAACATCTTTCAGGTAGTGGTTATACAGTGTTCTTTTAACTGTACATACCACATTTTGGTTTATATAGCTACTGCCAAAAATGCATCTTTCCAGCAATGAAAAGGCATGATTTTGTAGAAAATTGGACAAATGGAGTATGTTCACTTGTAGTTCAAAATTTGTATCTGCATTGTTCTGATAGCCCAATGTTAGATGAATTACCACAGAAGTTGAAGAAGGTGAACAATTGTAAAACCTTGAGGCTACTTTCCTCAATGCAACCTGCACTGATGACAACTGAGGTTGCTAGGGCTTATTTCAGGGCCTCACATCTCCTGTTGCTGCTACTTAGTAGCTACTGAGAGTCTTTTTACATGAAGGCTATATTCAATTGCTTTATGATTCAGGTAACATATATTGCCACTTATGAGATCATAGAATCATAGAATATCAGGGTTGGAAGGGACCCCTGAAGGTCATCTAGTCCAACCCCCTGCTCGAAGCAGGACCAATTCCCAGTTAAATCATCCCAGCCAGGGCTTTGTCAAGCCTGACCTTAAAAACCTCTAAGGAAGGAGATTCTACCACCTCCCTAGGTAACGCATTCCAGTGTTTCACCACCCTCTTAGTGAAAAAGTTTTTCCTAATATCCAATCTAAACCTCCCCCACTGCAACTTGAGACCATTACTCCTCGTTCTGTCATCTGCTACCATTGAGAACAGTCTAGAGCCATCCTCTTTGGAACCCCCTTTCAGGTAGCTGAAAGCAGCTATCAAATCCCCCCTCATTCTTCTCTTCTGCAGGCTAAACAATCCCAGCTCCCTCAGCCTCTCCTCATAAGTCATGTGTTCCAGACCCCTAATCATTTTTGTTGCCCTTCGCTGGACTCTCTCCAATTTATCCACATCCTTCTTGTAGTGTGGGGCCCAAAACTGGACACAGTACTCCAGATGAGGCCTCACCAATGTCGAATAGAGGGGAATGATCACGTCCCTCGATCTGCTCGCTATGCCCCTACTTATACATCCCAAAATGCCATTGGCCTTCTTGGCAACAAGGGCACACTGCTGACTCATATCCAGCTTCTCGTCCACTGTCACCCCTAGGTCCTTTTCCGCAGAACTGCTGCCTAGCCATTCGGTCCCTAGTCTGTAGCGGTGCATTGAATTCTTCCATCCTAAGTGCAGGACCCTGCACTTATCCTTATTGAACCTCATCAGATTTCTTTTGGCCCAATCCTCCAATTTGTCTAGGTCCTTCTGTATCCTATCCCTCCCCTCCAGCGTATCTACCACTCCTCCCAGTTTAGTATCATCCGCAAATTTGCTGAGAGTGCAATCCACACCATCCTCCAGATCATTTATGAAGATATTGAACAAAACCGGCTAACAAAACCAGGATATCAGATCCTGTGTAACATTTAAATGTATATTTCCCATAGTACACTTCCCAACATTATATATGTGTGACCTCCCTTCTCTCTATCTCTATCATTTATTTCAGTACTGAGCAAATCAGAATCATGGAAAAGGTGAGGTAAGGTGCAAATTTCCCCTTACCTCCTTTTAATAAATCAAGTCTACTGTTACTATTGATTTCTCAGCATTAATCTCTTCATTTGGCCATTGGTCATTATTTTGAAATACCATATCCACTGGGAAGACAATAAACATGCCAATAATTCAATTTGAAGAGCCCCAGGAGAACAATGTGCACAAACCCCCTCCCGCATTACTAATGATGATACAGTTTTCAATTGTCAAAATATGTGCTACTCTATACCCATGCACATCCAGCAAGGCAAATTGCTTTGTTTACCAGTCCTGCAAAGATTCTTGGTGTCAATTTGCTTTGGCTTTTGAGAGCTGAGCCAGTTTTCTGTCCTCCATGGAACTGAATAGCCTCTTAAAAAAAAAAATCAGTTCATCTCTCTAGTGAATGTCTGGTTGGCTTTCAAAGAGGGAGTTTCTTGTTTTTTTTCATTAAAAAAACTGTGTCTAAGAGCCAGCATGTGGTCTTGCCTCAGCCTGGCCCCCACCACCCCCCCGCACTGTTATTTTCTTCTGGAATCAGGACGTTTTTGTTTACCCATGGAGTCTTCACCTTTGTGAGCAGCTGACAAAGTTCACTCCAGCATATATCTTCCTTTAAAGATTTTTTTTTAGGAGGATTTGAAGTAGAATTCAAAATATATTCCCCAAAGGAGATAAAATGCTTGCTTGAACATCCCAAAAATCTGAAATTCCTGGGTCTGAGCTGGGGGGAAAGCAGTAGAAGAGGGAAATAGAATTATATACATTAAAAATGCAACAAAACCCCCAAACCTACATATTCCTCCTCTTCTAAAGACTCTGAGTTCCAGACCCTCTGGTTAAAGAGAGAGACCCTTTTTTAATCAAACCAATGCGTCAAAAATAATTTGTGCATTGGTTTTTCCACAGTGAATAGCTCTTTCTTTTGACATTTAGTCACATTCCAAAGAACATAGCCTCCTGGGTAATATCTCTTGCCAAAATGTGGCATGTCTTTTGTAAACAAAGATCCCTTCTTCTGAATATCAGTTGCATTATAATTAGTATATTTAGCTAAACTGTAAATAAGAGTTAACTTCTTCCTGACTGGCTATACTTGCAAAACTTTCTAAATATTTTTATTGGGGGATTAAATTAATGCCATATTATAGCTTTAGGACAAGCACATGGTTTAGAAGACAACGCTGTTCTAATTTTAAGGTAGACTCTGCTAAAAATTATATTAAGAGGACAGATTTTAATCCATAACAACTATATTTAAACTTTCCAC